GGTGTATTAAAATTTACTAAATCGAACTTATGAAGCCAAGAATTACAATTAATAAACTACCACTTGAAAATATTTATTCGCTGTGCTTATGTTAGCTCTTTGCTCCAATAATAAATGATAAGTCGGCCTGTCTAATTCAGGGGCTCTAATCACTTTTTTTTTGCAAAATTTACGTAGCAGTTATTTACCTTTTTTTAAAAAGAAATTATTTTGACGAGTCCGGCGCAGTTAGCATCTCTGAACTTAGAAAGCAATGTAATTACATACTATAAAAAAAGAAATGAAAATATGAGATATATATTTATGAAACTTTCTAGTATTTTATTTTTCTATACTTGAACTAAGCAACTGAAACTTTCAAAATCTGAAACTCCGACATCAATTGACACTCTGCGTTTGTTCTCTCTATTATTGCTTATCGGCAACAGTTGTTTGTCGCTTGTTCCATTTGAGATAATGGATCGCAGTATTGTCGGTACATTTCTATTTATTATTGATGTGATGTTTACATCTTTACTCAAAATTTTGTCTAAATTACGATCGCGTCAAATTGACGCATATCCGTAAAGATAGGTCTACCACAAAGAGAATTTCAATATTTCAACGCTTTAGAAGAAAATAGACTTCAATATATATTTACCTCGATCAATGAATAAAAGTCATCACAAGAGATAAAATAAAGATGCAAACGGGTTTTGTAATTTTCCATTTAAAATTCGAAGTGCGTCAAAATGACTCGTCCCGTAAACCTAGTGTTAACATAAAGTTCGCAAATATGACATTCAGGACTGGAACTACCCTTAAGCTTTTGGCATTTGGCTCTCTCTAATCTTTTAACGAAATTAAAAATTTTTTTTTTAGTTAAACAGATTAGAATGTAAAACCGAAAATATTAAAATATGCAGACTTCTTTTTGAATTTTTTAAAAAAAATTCTTAATTCTTAAAACAATTTCCATTTTTTTAAAGATGTAAGCAGCTTACAATGAGATGTAAACTCTCAATGTAAGCAGAGCATTATGTCAGTTTTGAAATACAACGCATTGAAATAGCGCTTTTACAATATCATTTTATATGCATAAAATTTAAATATCCTACACACTTTTTTTTGCTTTTATGCATGCTGTTTCTTGTTTATTCTGTTGTAACACATCCCTTCTTTCGTTCTCAATTTCTTTTCAGGAATGAATAAGCCATCTGGTCACGCATCATATTCAAATGAGAACCGCACTGTCGACTGCTTTCGACATTCAAATCGTATATCGACAGCTTTCTCCTTAACTTAATGTCTGAATACTTGCAGAGACAATTTACACTTGAGTGTATTCTAAAAATATCAGCTTTGGTAAATACGGTTTCAAATTCTGTGTAGTTTAATTGTTGTTCGAAACTACTCTAAGAAGAATTTTTACTAGTAATCAGAATAATTTGTAGAACGGTTTGCACATTCTCATTTAGAAATAAAGTCGAATCACTATTTTCAAAATTTAGTTCTGCTTTTAAACCTTTTGCACTCTGATATCGCCTCTGATAGGCGCCATTAGCATTTACCACTCTAAAATTAAAATTTTTTAAACCTTAGTAACCACATTATTTTCTATAAAGTAATTTGTAACCACATTAGTTTCAGAATTTCAAAAATTATATAAATATATTGTATTAAGAAATTTAAATTGTTTAGTGATTATATTAATTCAAATAGCATTTTAAAGTACTCGAAGTGCAAAGAGTTAATAATAGCTTTATTTTTCAAATAATAACATAAATAAATAAAATGAATAATAAATAATAGAATAAAGAAAAATTCGAATGTTTTCCTACTAAATTTTTTCAAAAACCATTTCTTGTGTATAAAATTCATTAATTTTCCTTCAGTTTGCAGGTTTGATTCTTCGGAAAGTTACTTTTTCGAAAAAGAAAAAAAAGTGGGAGCATTAGTGGCTTCGTAGTTAGTATTACTTTTGCAGATACAAGATAGTTCCACCTACTATTATATATTTATAAAATAAATTTTTATAACTTGAACTGAAGTAACACCTATTGCGTTATTAAATTTAAAATAATGAGTAACCAAAGAAATGTACTACCAATTTTTTCAGTTAGTAGTTTTTCATACATAGATCGCTCGAAGCAATTAGGCATATATCAAGTAACAGCCACCCCATAGACTCCTGAACTCAAACTGTCTTTTATTTTAACTTTTTATTTTATTTCATGATGTATGGGTTAAGGGCCTTCCGCTCGGCCCAGATGCCCAATTTTTCATAAATAAAGAAAGAAAGATTAGGCATACATCAGAGAAGCCAACTTGCTTCGATTTGTAAAAAAAGTATTTTCTAGTGGTAATGGAATTTAATATCTTTTTAATTTTGAGTAATTTTTCCACCACTACATATTAAAAGTTTCAAGTGTCTCGCGGTTACACATTTATAAAGTGGGCGTAATATTCTTATTCTACAAGTTTTACTATTTAATTCGCTACCAATTTTTTAAAGCTTTTGCAGAAAGCGGAGCCATTGGTATCCCTGATAAATGGGTTAATAATTAGATTATTCAATGTCCAGAAAAGATACTGGCACTATGTTTTCTAAAATTTCCGATCGTTTTATCATAATTTAAAAATACCAATACAAAGATCTCTAACAAAACACATTTTTTAAAAAAAAAATCAGAATCAGTCATGGTGGCTCAGGGGATGGAGCGTTCGCTTTTATATGAAGTGAACCGGGTTCGAGTCCCAACAATTGCTGGTTGATACGAATTCCACACCTGTCTCGCATCGACCACAGTGCTGACGTAAAGTATCCTCAGTGGTAGAGGGATCACTGTAATAAATAGGAATTTATTGAAGTTTTTTTTTTTGTATCAATACTTTTTAAAGAAGGGTTATTTTTCAATAGATGGCACCACTATGATAAAATTTAAATGCAATCAAAATTATGATATTTCATGAGAAATTTTTATTTATTCTTTTAAAATGGGATTTTTGGGGTAGATTGTGGATATAAATTGTATTAACATTTAAGGAGCTTTAGATTATCACTTTTATGGCGTATTAGTGGGTTTGTAGCTGGTTTTTCTT